AAGTTCGATTCTCCGGACTTGGATTTCGCACCCGATAAGCCAGTAGTGCTATCTGGTTTAGTGCGTTTTCTGAAATACAATATGAACCCATAAGTTGATGAGCTAAAGTGCTAAAAAGTAGAGCTTACATTATCTGAGAGTCGTGCAACATCATTAGCTGATCCACTCCAAATTGCATCTTCTCGATGTTGGCATCGCCCAAAGTAAAACTGCAATGGGAATTATGGTCGATTTCCGAATCAGAATAGTACAACTCGAGTTCTTCCTGATTGAGCCCCATTTTTAAAATCTCTGTCTCTGACATGCAAAACAAAGGCCTGCTACATAATGAATCGTCGCGACTATCTTGCAACAATTTCTGCCAATATGTATTGGTTTATATTAAATTTGAATAAATTTTTTACTTGACAGTTCTTGTGCAGAAGATTACGATATGCGAAGCTAAGGAATCAATCAATTAGGAATCGATAGACGATACTGTCAAGATATTAATACAAATGTTCACGTGGAAAACTTAATCAAAATTTTGTCAATTACCTAAAAAGTTCTAAAATATGACATTTTGACATGCATAATGTGTACAATTAAGAACCGGCAACTAATAATGACATATGTATAATCGAATTTTATAAGATTGTCTGTTATTTTGTTGGAACTTTTTTTTTTTTTAACTACTTCATTATCTTGCAATGGCAACCCTAAAATCAGATGTCCGTTTACAAATGTCAAGATGACATACGGAAATAGGAAAAAATGGCGTTGCACTGTGCAGAGTACTCTTCAAGTTTATTTCGAATATTTGACTTTAATACTTACTCATCAGTGATTTTGAAGGGTGAGTAACTGAGAATTTGAAAAGAAACCCGTTTTAGGAACATCCAGGATGGGAACAAATTAGACATGGACTTACCCAATAACTTGGGCCAGAAACTGCTCAAACCGATTGTCTTCTTTGTCACCAACCACACTGTTCAGCCGCAGTCGCAGGTCGCCCTTGAGCAGCTCCAGGTGACCGAAATCCGTGCAGCTCGAGTTAAATTTGACAAAGAAGTTGGCGTAGATGGAGAGGACGAAGGTCCAGTATGTTTTGTACACATAGTGCTGGTTTCTAAGCTCCTGCAGCTCTGCGGGGCTGGGCGCCAGCTTTCGATTGAAGAACATCAGCGAGGGAATCGTTGAGCGCAGCTCCTCACGCGTGAACGACAGCGGCTGGAAGCAGCGCAGCAGATATTTGGTCAGCAGCGGCGACAGCTGGTTGGAGAGGATCTTTCTTGCCAACTGGCAAGCAGAGACCCGGCAGTTCTCACCGCAGATGAACTGCGATTCGATCGTTTCGTGGCGATAGCGCTTTCTGGTGGCCAGATGCTGGAATACCGCCCATGCGATGTGATATGTGGTGCGCAGGGTATCGGACGTCTCTGCCTGTCGACGGAACACCGATCCACTGCTGCCGCTACTGGTTGGTGACTCGTCCTCCGGCAGATCGCTAGTGCGTCGCTGCTGTTGGACGGTGTTGGAGCTCGTGGCAGCCGCTATAGCCGCATTGTGCTTGGCCTCATCACTGGTGCAGGTGCTGAGGATCTTGGACTTCATCAGCTTCGGATCCTTCTCGACAATGCCGAGCGTTGTGCACTTGGCACAATGGCCCGCTTGTCGCGGTCGCAAAGGAGTGCCGGCGATGGAGCAAGTAATGCATTTGCAGTTCCTGATGATAGATAGCAGTGTTTATTATTATTATTTTAAATCATTTCAGGTCGCGAGGCTCGTGAAACCTACTCGTTATGGTGCTCGAGAAGAGAATTGCATTTCTTGCAGAGATCCTCGTGCACCAGCTTATTGGGTGGATCGTAGAACCCATCGGGCCACTTCAGCTTCGTGAAGGCCATGATATTCTTCCAGGCCAGCTGGCGATCCACGATGCGCTGGAAGTCTATAAACTCATCGTCGCTGATATCCGGCAGCGAAAACGAGGTGGCGTCCAGGACGACCTTGTCGAATATGTTGTACACATCGAGCAGGCCCATCCGGCGCTCGTGCTCCGTTGGCGACAAGTTAAACTTATTTAGCTCGATCCAGATGTCCGTCCAGCGCCGCTCAATGGAGTGCATGTGTTCGTCGAACAGCATGTACCGCTTAATCAACGCCGTCGTCTGGGCCGATGGAGCCACCTCCTTCAACGACAGGATGCAGGCCAGCATGGTATCCCCCAGGGGAGTGAATACATGTTGTTGGAAAAGCCGCTGACATAGGAGAACCCACGACAGCTTAAACTTTCGTAGGAAATCGTTCTCAAACGCAAACAGGCTGAGCGAGATCTTTTGCGATATGCAATTTAGATCAGAGTAGCCGTCCAGAATGTCTACATGGAGTTAAATACGAAGAGAAATGCATGGTGTTAACAAGTAAGTACTGTTTTCCTATAAAATCAATTCTTGTTAAGAGATAGGGGCAACTATCACTCAATTTATTAAGAATTAAGTGTATGCTTTTCTTAATAGAAAAAAGTGCCCCTCAAAATTTAGTTCGCTATCATTTGTTTGAAACCATTACAATAAATAGGAAAGCTCTCTTACATGTCAGCATCCTTTCTGCCGAAATTTTCTCGTTCTCCTGAATATTCTGGGCAATTTCGATCATGCCCTCGGAAAATGCCTTTACAATGCATTCGACATTATAGGCGAGTATTTGTAGCAGCAGCATCGGATTGTTGGCCATTAAGCTGTGAGATAGATGTTTAATTATTGGTTTAAAGTAAACAAACGCAGGCCTGAGGTCTCCGCTTACATGGCGCTGAATAGCACTAATATCATATTATCGGAGATCGCTGTGTCATCAATAAAATCGAGATATTCGGCATTTTTATCGTAGAGGTAGCCGCTCGTAATCCAATAGATCTCCTTGTTGCACTCAAGCAGCTTCTCAAACTTATTGTAGGCAGCATCGTTTCTGAAAGAGAGGAGATGTTTGGTTGATTAGCAACTGACTTTTGAACATTTTCTTAGAGTATTGCAGACTATGCTTACTTCAACATGGGGCTGTAGGCCTTGATCAGTACGTCTAGCAACATGACCACCATGTGCGCAGCCTTAAATTGATCCATCATGATCGCCATGATGGTTTCGCGGTATTCGAGACATTCCTTGCAGGAACAAAATGTGAAGAACTCCTCCTTCCGGTGTTTCACAAATATGAAGGCAAGATTCTGGAAATATAGCTACAATGGATTAGGAGTACGTTTCATTATGCTTCTCGAACATTTCAAGCAATCGCACCGTAATTGCACGCAGCTGTCCGTCGGCGTCACGCAGCGGATTCTTTGGATCCTCAGAGAACAGGCGCATGTTCTCAATGGCCATCTAAAAGAGTGTCAGAGCTTGTGAGTATTTATTCAGAAAGCTTGATTAAAGAGCTAAACTCATTAGAAAGTGTATTTCAATATTCTAGGGCAGATTTCTAAACAGATTTCTTAGGACTCAACCAAATAAGAAAAAACATTGACATCTCAGCAATGAGGAACTTTTGGGTATATTGAAATATATAAGATTGATCTAATAAGATAATTTCTACCTTTCTAAAGTCCAGAACTACCTCATTTGATTTCACAACTCATAAAATATAACCCTAAATCCCACAAACAATTTTAATGATACATTTAAATGAAGAAAATACAGAATGAAATCGATCTGTACAACTTCCCGAACATCCTGGGAACCCACCATATACGACCGCGTCTCATCGTTGGGATTGCCCTTGTGCTCGCACTCGTGGAGCAGCTTATCGCTCAGCTCCAGTTCGATGGCGTTGTCTTCCCGCTGACTCCACTGCATCAGCGACACGACCTCCTTGTAGACCGTCTCCGCCTTGGGGGCGGAGGCATAGGGATCGAATGGAGGCAGGGCGAGGATCGTGTGCAGCGTGTTAATGATATTGCCCTCGGGAAAGTTGAGCCGCTCCAGGAGATGGCATGGCGGTGAGCTGCTCCGCGCCGGCTTCGCCTGTTGGACACCAGCAGGCGGTGGCGACGGATTCAGCTGGGAAGCGGTGGCACCGCAGGAGGAGGACGTTGTGGCATCCACATCGCCCTCATCCGCATCCACATCAGCATCAACGTCATCAACATCAACATCCATGGAGGACAGTGACATCACATGGCAGCAGGAAGGCGGAGCCTCCTCCATTGGCAGTTCGCCATTGACCAGCGGCTCATCCGCATCCGTTTCTTTGGTGTGCGCCACCTGATCGGCCATTTCTGGCGGGGAATTTTACGCGGTGGGTGGGTCGATGAGCCCAACCAACTCAGTCCCCGGCTCCGGATCACTTGTTAGTCTTTGGTGCTTCTGCTGGCCAAATCCGCGTATGCGCGACGCATTATTATCTACGAAATCACAGATGTAGATGCACTTTCACTCGCTCACTGTATGCGCGCGCGTGTCTGTGTGTGTGTGTGCGCTGGTGTGTCGGTGTGTAAGTGTGGGTATTGGATTGGTTTGGTTTTTGGAATCAAAATCGGTTTTGGAAAAGAACGCAGAGCAGCGCAAAGCGCTTTTCCCCTCGAATCGCGCCAAGTGCGCCTTCTGCTTTCATCAGCGTTTCACCGAAGGGCCATCCGTTTGGATTTTCCGGGACCCGACTTTCTGTTGCCTCGCAGTTTCCGTTCCGTTTGCACCCACGATTGTTGTGATTTTCCGCTTTTTGTGATTTTTCGCCTGCTCGTTGCAATTCGCTCGTTTCTCGTTGATTGCATTCGCAGAGGTGTGGCCGGTGCGGCTTTCAGTCGAATTACCGCAACGCCACGCAAACAAGGTACGAAGATTTGGTCACACCCCCGACAATTTTTTCTACATTTTTTTATATTCCGAAGAAACAGCTAGAGTTTATGTATATAAACACCATTTTTATGTGACACTTTCTCAGAAACCTATCGTAATGCGCTCTTAAAAATATGATTTGTGAAAAGCTAAAAGCATTTTAAGCCAGACAAAAATTTAGGAAACCGTACAGAAAATATCGGTATCGCAACGATAACAATGTATGTTGACAACCCTGACAGAATTTCGTAATTTCGAAACGAACGATTTCAGCCGGCGAAGTGGTGAAGAAAATGTCCGCATCGACGGATCAGGATCCCGTGGAACTGATGCTGAAGAAGACCGGCTGTATAGAGCTTCACTACAAGGTGCAGGAGTGCATTGCTGAGACGGGAGACTGGAGGGCTTGCCAGGACAAAGTTAAGGAGTTCCGGGCGTGCATGCAGAAGTACGTGGAGCAGCAAGGCCAGAAGTATGCCCACGTCAAGTAGCATCCTGCAAAAGTTCCTCAGCAACGGTTTGGCCTTCGGCAAGTCCACCAAACTGGCGCTAGTGGTACGATCCGACCTGAAGATGTCCAAGGGCAAGACAGCGGCCCAGTGCGCCCATGCGGCGGTCATGTGCTACCAGAGCTCTGTCCAGGGAACCAAGCTCCAGAACGCCATTCTGCAGCGATGGTGTCGCCTGGGACAGCCCAAAATAGTGCTGCGAGTGGACAATTTCGAGCAGCTGAGCTCCCTGGAACGACAGGCTCAAGAGGCGAATGTTGTGGCCGCCATGGTTAGGGACGCCGGGCGCACTCAGCTGGAATCTGGGACTGCTACGGTCCTCGGATTGGGCCCAGCCCCTGCCGAAGATGTAGACAAACTGGTGGCGCATTTGAAGCTTTTGTGAACTCTTAGGTTTATGCAACGTTACAAATAAAGTACAAGTAATCAACAAGTTCTCAGGAGGCAGTCTTCTTGCCCTTGGAAATTGTGGATATGGTAAGGGAAACTGCTTGGCCGAACATCTCCACCAGGTCCGATGTAACCCTCTCCGTGATCTGCCGCAGCTTCCCATTGCCCTCTCCGCAGATTAGGCGCTCGATTCGCGTGGTGGGGCACTGGACCTGCACGGAGGTGTAAAGAACATCTGCAAAGGAAATCGGGTTTAGTGAGGATTCCTTTATGAATGCACGGGAATGCCATATCCTGCTCACTTTTTTCCACACTGTAGTACTCGATCTCGCACTTTAGGCTGTAGGGTATTTCCTGCGGCAAGTAGTCCAGCAGACGAGCCCGCACACTTTCCACAATCTGTGCTTCTGGGGTGGAGTCGGTATGAATGTCGGCTGGGTATTTCCAATCCCTGAGCTTGGCCTGGCCCACCAGATAGTTCTGCATCTCTTGCAGCCCATTGCCTGTCAAGGCTGATACAAGAAACACGTCGCTGAAGTGGCTCCAGCTGGACTCCCGCTTGTTGATCCGTATTTCCTTGGCGGGAGTACTTATTGCCTGGACTTCCCGCTTGCCCACTGTCAAAGTGTCGTTGGTGAGTGTCTTGATCAGATCCAGCAGCAAGCGCTTCGACTTTAGCGCGTCTATCTTGTTGAGAACCAGAAAACTGGGCAGGTTGCTATAGGCCTTCAGCGTGTCCAGAACTGTGGGATGCAGTTCCTTCCTCGTCCAGCCATTTGAGGCATCATGTACCACGGCGATGATGTCCGCATGCTGTATGGCATGGCGGTAGGCACTCTTAAAGTTCTGGTCCAGGTGGTGTCGACGAATCTCATGCTGGGTGACCAAGCCCGGTGTATCGTAAAAGACCAACTGCGTCTGGCCGGTGGTAAAAATGGCCGTGTTCGACTGTCGAGTGGTGTGCACCTTGGCCGAGGTGGGACACACTCGGTGGTTCACCGTGTTGTTAATGAACGTGCTTTTTCCCACATTGGGCACTCCAATTACGGCTATGTGCAGCGATCGCTGCCCCTCTTCGGGATTCCTCGATTCTGCGGGCGGTGGGCGCGTGGTCGGAGCGACTGCATCATTGGTTTGGGCCGCGCCGGTCAAGCTGCGCACATTCAGCACCAACAAATTGTGGTTTTTCGTGCTATTTAGCAATTTTAACGCACTGGCTATTAAATTATAGCGCATCTTGCAAAGCAATGTTTACACTGATTGCAATGCGATTTACACAACAGCTTTTTTATATCGATATCGCTTATCGATTTTGGTAGTGATTTGATTATTTTTATTTATCGTCTTTTGGCGCCAAATAGGTTTTCTAAGGCTTACAATTTATGTATATAATTTTGTATTTTTGTGGCATATTCAAACATAGACACAGATTCATTCCTTTTTTATTGCAATACAAAATATTAGAATACGTTACGTTTTTTACAACTACTTTTATGGTCCTGTTTTTGTGATTGAATTATTAAGAAAATATATTTACAAGAAACTATGAACTGAAAGCCATTTAAATAATTTCATTTGTACTAACGATTAGTATTGCCATTATTATCAGGCTAACAAGTCTCAAAACCGGTTTGAGAACTTGTGAGAGAGCGTTTTCTTATCAATTTTAATAATTTTCCATCTAACCGCTGGGAGAATAGATTTCTATTGGGAACAAATTGGCTTTAGTCGGTATTGAGGCCTCAACTCGGCAAGGCGAACTTAGATTAGTTCCCCAAAAACACAATGTTATCGCCACAACTTCTGATTCTAAGTTTAATCTCAGGGTTACATTTGCTTTCCTTGGCAGATGGTGATCCCATGACAGAGGTATTCAGATGGAAGCAGATGGACTTTTACAATCGCGGAGATGGCCTTTCGAGCTTGGGCGGAAGAAAAGACAGGCCCAGCTTTTCAGGTATGCTAAAAAGTATTACTAGTTTTGCATTCAGGTATTTTCTACATTGTCTAGCGATCACACGTATGTAAATGTAATTTGCCATTTTTTAATTGGATAACTAGCTCCGGTTGTCTTTCCTGGCAAGCACTCTCGTCGGAAGCGTCAGAGTATGACCTCCCGCGATACACCTGTGGCTATCAACTCTCGCGCCGACAGTGACGACTCCAACGCCCCCTACATTCCGTACAACAACGTGCCCATGGGAGCGACTCACTTTCGCGGAAGACTTTTTGTCACGATGCCTCGTCGGCGGATGGGCATCCCGTCCACCTTGAATTACATCGATCTGGCCGAGGACGGATTAGATAGAAGCCCCAAGCTACGGGCCTATCCCAACTTTGAGCTTAATCAGTTCAACGCGAGTGCGGAGAATTTGGTGTCCGTCTATAGAACCTCCGTGGATGCCTGCCAGCGTCTCTGGTTCATCGACACGGGAATGCTGGAGTACCCAAGTGAGTTTCATTTGATTGTGATAGAAAATATCAGGGTTTTTCAAGTACAATCAATAGTACAATCAAGTCAAGTCTTCTTTTTCTGGTGACCTAGAATATAAAGTAAACTGGATCACAATTCTCATTGTTAGATAACCGCCAACAGATCCGACGTCCCAGCATTTGGGTAGTCGACTTGGCCACGGATCAAGTGCTGAAGCGCTTCGATATCCCGGAGAGTATTGCTGAAACCGGTCGCGGATTGGCCAGCATCACCGTTGATGTAACGGCGGGTCAATGTGGCGATGCTTACGCTTATATTCCGGATCTGGTGTACCGACGCTTGTACGTCTATCACCTGCGAAACGATAGAATCTGGTCCTTCGAGCACAACTACTTTAGCTTCGACCCACTTTCCGGGGATCTGAACATTGGCGGCCAGACCTTCCGCTGGGATGATGGCATCTTCTCAATTACTTTGGGAGCCCAGAAGCTAGATGGAAGCCGAGATGCCTACTTTCATCCCATGGCTAGTACGAATGAGTTTGTGGTTTCAAACCGGGTTCTGCAGCAAGAGTCCAACGCCGCGCGCTCCGATCATGGAAACGATTTCCGGGTACTCGGAAGCCGTGGTCCTTCCACACAGTCGACGATGCACGCATACGATCCTGGGACCGGGGTCATCTTCTTTGATGAAATCCAGCGAAACGGCGTGGGCTGCTGGAAGACCAGTAAGCCATTCTCGGCGGAAAACTATGGCTCTGTGGACTCCAATGCCATGGAAATGATTTATCCCAGCGATTTGTCGGTAAGCAAATGATTAAGGATAAGTGAAGAGAACTAGAGAACTAAGAGATTAATCTTACTGCTGTAGATTGACGAGGAGGGCACCATTTGGGTCATGTCCAACTCCATGCCCATATTCATTTACTCCATACTGGACACGAATATATACAATTTCCGGATCTGGAAGCAAAAGGCATCGCTGGCCAAGAAGGGCACAGTTTGTGAATGATTCGTGTAGAAATCCCAATTCAAATCCCAAAACAAATTTGTTATTTAAATAAAAATACATAGCTAATAATAAGGAAATTTCCCTATGGGACATAATTATTGAATGAATGGGAAGTCACACAAATCTACTCTTTAATATGTGCAGATATTCAGAACATCTCGAAAATAATAAAGAGATATATTTAAGCAAAAGAAGAGCTTGCTCTTATCATCTTATATGATGAGTTTTCGAGTCGCAGAGCACGTATAACTCAGTTGAACTCAAGCTGGGAATCAGTCGCAAGTGGGTCTTCAGCCAGGAAAGGCGAACGACCGGACCTAAATTCAGTTTCATATACATAAATGTTATCGCTGAAGTTTCTGCTCATCTGCGCAATTGCAGGTTTCCAACTGCTAATCTCGGCAGACGGAGATCCTATGATAGAGGTTTTCAAGTGGAAGCAGCTGGACTTTTACAACCGCGGAGATGACTATATGGATTTGTGGAGCAGGCTCTGCATCCCAGGTAACTATAACCAATTAACATGCTTCTCTTTTACTTTTCGTATACAAATGCTGGTGAGTCACTAGGTTTCTTCCACAATATTTGTAATATGAATATTATTTTAGTCACCCTTTAAAATACATTAAAATACTAAAAACATAATACATGATTTAGTTGCAAATAGTTGCAACGTTGTTGATGAGTCACTAGTTTTTTTACACAAAATATTTCAAATTATTTGTAATATGAATATTATTTTAGTCACCCTTTGAAATTCATAAAAAAACATATAACATTATTTAACTGCAAATAAATTATTAATGTAAACTATAAAGGATCGGGCTAGTTGGACACATGAAAACATTAACAATAGTTTATCCTAATTACCAAGATCCGCATGTCTACAACTCCCGCAAGTGCTTGGGCTCCTCCAATTCCGGAGCCAATGGATCCTTCATTCAATACAACAACGTGCCCCAGGGAGTGACCCACTTCCGAGGACGCCTCTTTGTCACTGTGCCCCGGCGCCAGGAGGGCATCCCGTCCACCTTGAACTACATCGATCTGGCCAAGGATGGTTGGAATCAGAGTCCCCACCTCCGGGCCTATCCCAACTTGGCGTTGAATCAGTATAATGCCAGCGAGCAGAATCTGGTGTCCGTTTACAGGACCTCAGTGGATGCCTGTGAACGACTCTGGTTCGTGGACACAGGAATGCTAGAGTTTCCCAGTGAGTATTCTTAAATACCTTAAATGTAATGTGATCCATTTGGAACTAAGATATAACTCTACATATCAGATAATCGCCAACAAATCCGGCGTCCAAGTATTTGGGTGATCGATTTGGTTACCGACCGCTTACTGAAACGATTTGAGATCCCACAAAGCATAGTAGAGATCGGACGTGGACTGGCCAGCATCACCGTCGATGTGACCGCACGAAAGTGCGATGATGCCTATGCCTACATTCCGGATTTGGTCAATCGCAGACTGCACGTTTACCACCTGCGAAGCGATAGAATTTGGTCCTTCGAGCACAGCTCCTTCAACTTTGATCCCCTTTCTGATGATCTCAACATTGGCGGGCAAACCTTCCGCTGGGACGACGGGATTTT